ATCATCGCTATCACCATCATCGTTATCATCACTATCGTCATTATTATCGCCATCATAACCAACACCATCATCATCATCATCTTTGTCATCATCATCATCATCATCGTCATCATCACTATCATGACTGTCAACACACGAAAGCTGTCGAGTAAACGTCATCAAGAATCACCAATGCTATTAACCGTTTCATCTCATTTTTCATCATCATCATCTCATTTTCATCACCACCATCATCATCTCATTTTTCATCACCATCTCATTTTTATCATCATCATCATCATCTCGGTTTTCTTCATCATCATCATCACATTTTCTCCATCACCATCATCATCTCATTTTTCATCATCGTCATCTCATCTTTATCTCGTTTTTCATCATCATTATCATCATCATCTTCATCATCACATTTTCTCCATCACCATCTTCATCATCACATTTTTTCCATCACCATCATCATCTCATTTTTCATCATCTCATCATCATCATCATCATCCTTACATTTTCTCCATCACCATCATCATCTCATCTTTATCTCATTTTTCATCATCATCATCTCATTTTTCATCATCATCTAATTTTTCATCACCATCATCATCTCATTTTTCATTATCATCATCATTGCCACCAATTTCGTCATGATCATAATTTTATTTCCTCATCATCATAAATCTCTCTCAATACTTCATCATCATCATCATCGCCAACGCCATCATCATCATGACGACCGCCAAGAAAATAATAAACAAAATTACCAAACCAATCTCTTCCTGAAGTATGTAATTATGGATGGATGCATGGATGTATGGATGGATAGATGGATAGATTGATGGATGGTTGGATGGATGGATGTATGGATGTATGGATGTATGGATGGATGGACAGATGGATGGATGGATGGATGGTTGGATGAGTAGATGGATGGAGGGTTGGGTGGATGGATGAAAAAATTGATTGGCAGATGGATTAATGGATGGATGGATGGCTGGATGAACAAATGAATGAATGTAAAAATTTACAGATAGACAAATGAATAAAAGATTGATTGGTAGATGACAAACGGGCAAATGAAAATACTATTGAATGACTGAGCGCATGAATGAATGAATGAATGATTGAATGAATGAATGAATGAATGAATGAATGAATGAATGAATGAATGAATGAATGAATGAATAAATGAATGAAGGAATGAATGAATGAATGAATGAATGAATGAATGAATGAATGAATGAATGAATGAATGAATGAATGAATGAATGAATGAATGAATGAATGAATGAATGAATGAATGAATGAATGAATGAATGAATGAATGAATGAATGAATGAATGAATGAATGAATGAATGAATGAATGAATGAATGAATGAATGAAGGAAGGAAGGAATGAATGAATGAACGAATGAATGAATTTATCAATCAATTAAAAAATTGATTGATAGACAGTAAAGTTATTCATCCATTCATATTCATTATTGCATGAGGTATCAGCAACAAACACACATACACTTGTGAGTATGTCTATCAGGCAGAAATGGCTGGTATTTGAAACCGGCTGCTGCAACAGCAGAGCCAGGCATCTTAACCACTTCACTACATCGCCACTCAGATTATGTTTGTTCTTTTTTGCCTTCCAATGTATGAAACAATATTCACTGGTGGGGGTGAAGAAGATGCCACCGGAGGATCAAATGATTGGAAAGTAATAAATAAAATATAAAAGTTGAAAATAATAAAAAAATATATTACAAAAATGAGAACAATAAAAAGTAATTGAAAAGATGATTAATTGGGTGTGGGTGGGGGTGGGTGGAGGTGAGTGGGGAGAGGAGAGCTGAAGTGGTGTGGGCCAGAGCACGCGTGAAGCCATTCCATAATCCTCCAAATATTTGCACTCAAGCAATTATTCTCATTTTTATCTAATTAGCCATCCTCCTCATCATCATCATCATAATCATCATCATCGTCGTCATCATTTTTGTAAATGCCACATTTTGTCATCATCAGTATGCCATGATCGTAAACATGATACTGACCATCATGCAACTTTCACCATTGTGAAAAAATATATTTCTTCACCATCATCATCACCATCCTCATAAACATCATCATCTTCATCATCTTCATCATCATTCTTTTTAGATCTCATCATTCATATTATAATCCTCATTTTAATCATAATTTTTACAATTAATGCGAACACATCATCATCATCATCAACCTCATCATTATAATAATCATCATGATGATCATCATCAGCATTATCATCACCATCATCATCATCATCAGCTGCTGCAACAGTATAAAATAAACATCATCATCATCATCATTACAATCATCAACATCACCGTAGTCTTGTAGTCATCATGTCTGTATAAACTTTACACAAACAAACATACATACACACACACAGAGAAAGTTAGAGAGAGAGAAAGAGAGAGAGAGACAAAGAGAGATAGAGAGAGAGAGAGAGAGACAGAGAGAGAAGGAGAAAGAAGTAATTGTAACTTAAGAGTTAGCAATTAATTTTAATTCATCCTCTCGATGCTGCATTAGCGTATTTCTCAATCGACAAATAAATTTCAATTCCGGCCAACCAACCTCAATGTTTGCTTTTTTGTCAGTCCATCTGCATAAACATTACGTGGAATGAATGGATGAATGAATGAACGAACGAACGAAAGATGAACGAAAGAACAAACGAATGAATGTATGGATGAATGAACAAAATAGCAAACAAACGAATGAAGAAAAAAATAAAAAAAGCAAACCAGAATAAGCAAGCATGCAAGCAGGCAGTCAGCAATTGTTCGTCTGTTGAATCATAAGATGATATTTCAAATGTAAGTAAACTACGTGACATGTTTGAAAGTGTGCGTGAGGTACACGAAAGCATCTCATAACCTATACCAACCTATGTCTAATTGAAAACAAATGGAAACAAACGAGGGTGACCAGCCAGCCAGCCAGCCATCCAACAAACCAGCAGAGGAAGAAATATAAAAATCCCGCCATTAAAAAGAATGAAGAAGATGGATTAGTTTATGCCGTCTGCTTTTAAATTACAAATCTATGCTACCTGGTTGTTCGTTTGGTTGTCTGCTCGTTTGTTTTTTCGTCTCTTTGTTTGGTTAGTCGGTCGGTCGGTCGGTCGGTCGGTTGGTCGATGGTTGGTTGGTCGGTCGGTCAATTAAATGGTTGGTCGGCCTATTGTGTTGGTATCAACAACACACAGACACAAACACACACATTGCACATGACAGGTGAGATCTCTCTGCAATTGAACCCAGTCAGTGCAACAGCAGACGCTTCAACCATTACACTGGCTTTGGAAATTTTCGGGCAAATAATTAAACGAAATGCAAGTGATTCTTGATAACAAAACATTGTGTGGTAAAATTTCTCCAGTTTTGTGTGTAAATTATTTGAAACGATTTTTCAAATAACTTAAAAACTGTTCAATGCCAGCAAACATCAACAGTAACGTGTATGTGGTCTGGCTTGCTTGGAAGATCATTCTGCGTAACTGAAACATCTTACGGAAGAAAATCACATCAGAAGCAGGATACAAACAACAACAACGACAACAACAACATAAAAACAACAACAATGACCACAACGACGACAACAACAACAATAAAGCAATAAAACAACAAAATCAATAATACCAACAACATGATAACAACAATAAATAGCAACAACCACATAAACAATATAAACGTAGTAACAACACAATGTAGGCGTAGCAACAACAACAACAACAACAACAAAAACAACAACATACCAAACAAGATAAAAAACATCATCATTTTTGCAGACAGTTTAATACTATCAGTTGGCCAGTAGACGGCTGTGTACATGTTTGCATGAAGCATTCGCTTCCACACTCATTCACATCTTTAAATATTAACATGCAAACACATATAAACACGTTCAAACACATTACACATAAACACGCACACACACATGCATGCAACCATGTTTACACATACACACACACACACACACACACACACACACATGCATGCAACCATGTTTACACACACACACACACACACACACACACACATGTTTAGGCATTCACACACACGCATTCACACACGTAAATTTTTACTTATATTTTGCAGCTGCTTGCATGTGCATTGTACTGTACAAACTGCTATGTATAAAAGTATGTATAAATATATTATATTGCATACATGTAAAAACTAAAAAGCATATTAAATGCATTGATACATTTTTATGTTTGCGCATGCATGCTTTTTACGTATATGTGTACAGAAATATGTATAAATGCGTGTGTGTATGTATAATGTATATAATGTATGCATGTTTTTAATGGCTATAATTGTGAAATTGTATGTACATAATTCAAGATAACCATTTTGTATATGTTTGTATTTGCTTGTACGTACACACGCTTTCGCTAGAATACCTCGCTATGCAGGAGTATTTGTATCTTTTGTATTTGTATTTCAAGAGGCGACATCCAATTAGAAAGCCATAACTTATTTGTGCCACGTACCATTACGTAGAAGCGTGTCAGCAAAGAATCCACGAGAACATTGCAACAAGTTGTGTGTGAATCCATGTGTGTCTGTGTGTGAGTGCGTGTATGAGTGTGCGTTGTGTGTGTGTGTGTGTCTAAAAATGAATGTATGTATTTGTGTATTATATTGTTGCAATAAAAGCTGTTGCAATAAAAGCTGCAAAATGTTGTGATGCCGCAAAAATGTTGTGATGTTAGAAAAATGTTGTGATGTTGGAAAGATGTCCTGCTGCCAGATAGATGTTATGACAGCCATGAGATCATCCTGGACCAAAGATCAACTCTCAATTAAGAGGAAAAACAAAAAATTCAAATTCGAACTGAACACGCCAACTATGCATGAAAGAAAAATGAATATCAAATGATGTGCGATCTTATTTTCTACTCTTCCTCCTGAAAAGAACTCTGCCTTGTCGAAAGTGTACGTGTGTGTATGTGTATGTTGTGTGTGTATGTGTGTGTGCTTATCTTTGTATAAGTATGTGTGCATGTGTGCGTGCGCGTGTGTGGTGTGTGTGTATGTCTTTATATGTATATACCTTTCTGTGTATTTGTGTTCTTTTGGTGTTTATGTAGTGTGTGTATGTGTATATTTGTGTGAAACAAGCGAGAAGAGAAATTGATATAATTATGAACTTGAGACAATGAATGTTTATTTTTGAAGTTTGACTTGGTTGGTAGTTGAAACTTGAAATCAGTCGGTCTTTTTCTACTCTGCACTTTGTCAGAAGTATCATAGAAACAGCAAGTAACAAAACATGGTAAAAAGTTAATTTTTTTTTTTAGCTCGAGGTTACATGTATCTGTTTTAAAGTTTAAGCCAAAAATAAGCACAATATTATACGTACGTGCATCTTCCATTTGAAAATTAAACACAATGAATATCAGTTCTTTCAAGTTTTATCAAGTTCATGCAGTGAAACTTTACTGAATTTTAGGCAATTGTTGATATGATTGAGTCATTGAGGTAGAAAAATTAACAAATACAAAAATGTAGACAACGCAGACTAAAATATCAACAACAGAACAACCAACACTACAACCACAGAAACAAAACTCAGCTGCAAATGTGCTAACAATATTCCTCTCTACAAAACAAATGAACCAGAGACCATCACTTACTGGGGTACCACGATTACCGTTTCACTCACTCACTCATTCACTCCCTCACTCACTCACTCACTCACTCACTCACTCACTCACTCACTCACTCACTCACTCACTCGCTCACTCAACCAATCACTCCCTTCCATGCACACCACCTACCTTCCTCCCTTCCTTAGAGTGACTGGAATTTCTGATGAAGGAAAACTTTTAAGAGTAGATAAGCTGCTAAATGGTGCAACAAAGCCTATGTATATATAATTATATATATATATATATATATATATATATATATATATATATATATATATGTGTGTGTGTGTGTGTGTGTGTATGTGTGTGTGTGTGTGTGTGTGTGTGTGTGTGTGTGTGTGTGTGTGTGTGTGTGTGTGTGTGTGTGTGTGTTGGTAATAGACCATAATTTTTACAATATTCGATGAATTCTACCGAATGTTTGGCGTTAAAATTATGGTCTATTACCAACATTTACTCGAAGTTCTGCGACCATAAATATATGTATGTATGTATAGATAGGATACGGAGTTGTTCAAAAGGCAACAGACAATGACATCCTCAATAACTAACCAGCATTCTTCATAAATGCCACAAACTCCATGAAGAGTCACATCAACTTAATTTTGGTGGGACTCACGTGATATCATCTACCGTTAGCGACTCAAAACGTTACAGCAACCACGTCAACATGTGCCTAATCAACTGACGGAGGAGATGCATGCGTTGCTGCCATCCTAGCAGAAAGAAGACTCGACAAATGGAAGGCTAGTTTTATGGCCTAATTGGTGCTATTGCATGTCCTCAGAATAAAATCAATAAATTGTTTGAATCCATATCATTATCATCGTCGTCGTCATTATCATCATCATCGTCGTTGTCATCAACATCATAATACTCATCTTCGTAATCGTCATCATAACATCATAATCGTCATCATTAGTTTCGAACAAATGTACTCGTACATCATCATCATCATCGTCGTCGTTTTAAAATCATCACTTTCATGTCATCATCATTACATTAACTGACATCAACAATATTCAACTGTTCCCACTATTACTTATTCATTAACATTAACGTCGAGTAGAGACAGAGAGGGTAGGGGTTAAATTGTTCACTTGCCTGTTTGCAGTCTGTCTATAAACTTCTTTATCTGTCTTCATCCTATAATCTTGAACTAGAAAAATACAAAGAAAGCAAACGTTCAAAACAAATCAGATTAATCTATTAGCCTAATTAACTAAACAACTGAACAGAACAGTTTATTCTCCAAGAAATCTCTGACATGGGATGGTATAAAAGTGTAGGCATGAGATGGCAGTAGGGCAAGCGTCCACATTTTAGTGACTTCTAAAGCGTAAGATTGAAATTCTAAATTTAACTATTTTCAAATTCATTTCAAAGTTTATAACGTTAACAAACCACAAATTTCATTCTAAATCATTTAAATGGCATTATTCAGCTGTTATTTTATAAGCATTCAATATTCATCTTAACTAAAAAAACATTAAATAAATTAGATAATTCTTTCGCAGCCTACAAACAATTTTGAGTTTTTGCATCATGAAAGTATGTTTAACAATCTTAATTTTTCATTAAAACAGCAACTGAGGCAAACAATGCGTCTGTCGCATTTCAGCCTTGAAGCGTGTTAACAAAATGGAAACAATTCTGTCAGAACATTCTAGAATTAGTTTTCAGTTATTTGCTTCATTTTAAAATTATGCAAATGTAATTGAAAGATAAAGTCTCTAAAAATAAACAACTTTTTCAGTTTTCAAAACATTTTCAGATGATTTTAAAAACCATCCGAAAATGTATAGCTCAGAAAATAGGAGTGCCATCTTTCTGGTTGACAATGCGTTGTAACCTGGTTCGAATTTCGTGTGTGCGTGCAAGCATACTAGGAATGTACATTTTGTGGTGTTGATGCTACAAATTTTTTGACACTACACAACTTTTCCGTTTGCACCTGAAAAACAGTTCGTAAACGGTTGTTAAATCGTCCAAGTTAGGAGTAGCAGCAGCTAAAATTGAAATGAAACTGTTGCACCTTATTGAATCTCGTAAAAGTTTGCAATCACTGAGGAAACCACACCTGACAAGAGTTATTAAGAATAACGTTATTGTTAGAAGTCATTCGTTGCATGTTAGGAGCCACGTCTGAAGAAACATCAAGGAAAAACTGCAAGAATTTCATTCGCTCGAATCACAATGATTCTGATCAGATAAACTCATTAATAGGAGCCCAGCCATCTTAGATGAAATGCGGGCAGCTAAAAACTCACTCAACTATAGAGACAAATTTATGTGATGTAAAATAAAATAAGTGCCTATGAACAAATTT